AAGGAAGCAGGTGTGATTCAGCAGCTTGTTGTGGGCATGTTAGGAGACCGTCACATGTGGCTGCAGACTTCTTCAGTGCACATTGTGCCAACCCTGCACTTCCTATAAAATCATCATCACCTCCGGAGCTCTTCTCATCATACCCAAGTGCTTCATCCATTCATGACAACATACCTTCGGCAACACTGTTTTAGCCCTTCTTAACGCGAAAGAATGTGGGCATATTTTACGTACGTTAACACACAATAGCATAGTGTATTCAGCGCCCTTCACTACAGGGTCTTTCCTTCCTTACGCACTGTGCACTGAAACAGAAGCCAAAGCGCCTCAGGTATTAACCAGCTCCCATTCAGCATCAGCAGCACTGCTCATGGTGCGCACTGACCAAACAAACAAAAGCTTTCTTGGGAAACATCTTGTCCCAGAATAAAAATCTGGTACCCTTTGAGTCCCTCGTTCCAATGCACAAACCGCAGGACTGACAGGCAGCAGAAAGGGATCTTTCAGTACCAGATCACCACGACGTACAGGCTCACTAGAAGCAACACAGCGTCGGGAACTTCGAAACCCAGTACTTCTTAGTTCTGATTATGCAGCTTGCATACTTTGCCAATCATTTTCCCAAAGTTTTGCTGAGTGAGGCGTATTGTCCCTGTCCCCCGTAGCTGCGAGATCCTGCTGATCAGAGCAACCTTGGAGCTGCGTGAGGCGGCGGCGGCGAGGCCGGCACAGCTCCCGGAGATCCCACTGCTGCACCCGCTTCTGATGAGGGAGACAGTCTTATGGTTTGATTCCTTAATTGAAAAACTGTAATTGTAGCAACACCAAGGCCCCAGCGTGCGTAATGAATAGAGTGTGGACCATTGAAATCTATAGCACAGACTACTCCTACTTCACCTAATTAAGTAACAGCTCCCAGTTACGAGCTTTTCCATATGCATATGTAAAGCCTGCTGATAAAAGGAGAAAGGGAACTCTCAACAGCTTTGTTGTTGTTAGGCTGCAGGAACTTAGGAGGCTGCTGAAAACTCTGGTAGGGTATTTAGCTTTGTGGTTATAGCCTGACTGCTTTTGCTTTTAAGTCTAAACAGTTAATTTTTCTCTCTTACCATTTGTTTTGCTGCACTTATACTTTATAGACATTTCTCTATTCTTTAGTACTTGTGACCTCCCTTTTCTGCTATTCTATGTTGTTCTATACATATGCTTTGCTTTTCCTACTTTCTCTTACTTCCTTACCACCAGTGGGAGTAGCAAATGTGGATAAGTGTGCACATGGTTTAAATCTATATCCAGCTCTACAGATGAGCCTGCAGAACCCTGGAAATAATTATTCTGAGAAAAATTATGTTCATCCTCCCCAGCAATTGTGTGGAACATGTGAACTTGCACAGTTGCTGTCATGCTGTCCAGCCACTAAGCAGTTGTGAGAGTTGTGAGTACAGATTTTTCAAGGACCGACTTATATAAATTTCTGAGAGTGTGGAAGTGTTTCAAGGAACAGCTTTTGTGGAAGAAGTTTCAAAGACTTATCCCTTTGCTGTATCTTCCTGAGAATGGCAACAAGCACTCCTGAGACCTTCATCTGCTAAAGTCACTCTTCCAAAATATAAAGGTGGTAGAATTTCTGAATTCAATATTGCAATACTTTTAGTATAAACAAAAGAAAAAATTTCCTTGATCATTGCCTCATAAGTGACTAAACTGCTTTCCAACTGGAACTTCCTCAATACTGAAATTGAGGTGGGTAAGACTATGGAAAAGTATTCCCTAGACAAATGCAATTTTAAGAGAAAAAACCCTTGATATAGGGTCTTACCATGGGAAGACTCAAAAAGAAAAATACAGTCTTAACTACTGGTAGCAAAAGTAGCTCCACCTAGAACAGGTATAAAAATCACAGGTGAGTGTACTCTTCCTAAGTGACTATATAATTAAAAGATCATTTTTGCCATCTTTCTCTTTTTCCTTCCTAGTTGTTATCTGTTGTGTAGTTGGCATGATGACTCAGATGATAGAGTTATGCTGGAAATTATATATACATGGAACACTGAGGCCCAAGAATGCAAATTCTTCTGAGTAAACAATCTAGTTTGGGGGAAGAGAGGGGGATATTTCTTCCGCCAAGCACTAGACATACAGTAATATAAGTCTAAGAATAGAAGTTTTATATTTGAACTACTTCTTTCAAGCTGAACCTCAAAACAAACTGTGCTTTAGTTCAAGGCTTGAATTTGCTGTTGAAAAGAAAATCAACGGTGCAATTTTCTTTATCATGAGCATCTACATCTACCTATGGCTTTGAGTGTATAGTAACAGAGTCTGGAGCAACTGGAGTTTTCCACTGTAGTTTTGTCCTCATTTGCTCTTGTAATCATTCAAGCTTAGCAGCATTTGTTGCATTCAGATACAGGTCAACTGTATTTCGATGAAGTTCAAAGAAACGGGTGCAGCTGATTGAGCCATATCATTAAAAAAAAAAAAAAAAAAGAATATAGAGAATATAGTGTCTTGATGATGCTTGCCCAGATCAATGTGATCATATTTTGCTTTTCATCTGATTCAATACCAGGTTTCTATCTATGGAGTAAACCATCTTTCTGAAAATTCCAGCTGGATGATAAGTAATTTGCCTTATTGAAAAGTCTTTTGTTAAGGAATATCTTTTCTGATGTAAGTTAGATACAGATGCCACCTCTTCTCTGCAAGTAAACAGATAAAAGGAATATGTATTTTTGACTGATCACATTGTATAAAGTAATTTTCATTGGTTCATAAAGCATCTGCAGCATGACAATAACCGTGAAGTTAAAGATTGTCAGATTTGTCACTAATTAATACATGAATAATAATGGGACATTTGAGACAAGCTTACAGGAATCAGGCCCAGTGTATGTTGGTTATTGTAAAGCCATGCATACAGAAACAAGTGTTTTGAAGTGACCAGGACCTTGGCTGCTCTGATCTGGACTCAGTCAAAGGCCTGACTGCTAGAAAATCTTCAGAGCTTAACCGTGGGAAAATAGTTTTCTTGTACTTATTTCAATGCAGACTTGAATAAGCTAAAACCACAAGTCAATGAAACAGGCTGGGATTTTTATTTCTTTTTTTTTTTTTTTGTGATAAACATTATGATAGACTCTGAAAGCTAGAGAAGGTGGAATAATAGCAGTAGACTGTACCAATCTACTGTTTCACACTGAACAGATTCTTCCTGCTTGAGTTAGTCACTCTGAAATCTTTATAGAATGCTTGGGGGCAAGGAAATGGAGGCAGAAGGCTGGCCTTAAGAAATTCCTATAGGATGCATCCACTGTAATTCTGTTCTGGACTGTAATGTATCCACTGCAACTCTTATTCAGAAAGACTCACGGCACCTTCTGGAGAGGCTCCATCATATCTGATCACTAGAGCAGTACAGAGCATGTAATGAAGTCATACTTTATCGTGGCTTATTAAAACAGCTGTCTAAGGTCATAAATATGACAAGTTGTTTTTATCACCAGGAGAACTCCCGTAAGCATGAGGATGATGATTAACGTCGCATCTCCAGTTCTGCTTACATCTGCAACCCCGTGGCAGATGCCTGGCTCCAGTGCTGTTTAAAAGCCATCAGAAAATGTCTTAATCACTGGTGACCTCTGCGAGAACTTTGGTGGCTTCTACATCGATCTGACCCACAGAGTGCTCCTCAGGCAAACATGAAGGCAGGCTTTTTTTATTGATTAGCCAAATTGTCTAGGCTTCCTGTTTTGTCTCCTCATTGGCAATTAAGAGAGAAATCCATGGAGGGAGTGGTGGCAGTGAACCTTTCCCTCTGATACAAATAACCTTAATCGGGCCTCTGAGTTGATTTGTGAAATTGTTCCGTATCGACTTCTCTTTGAAGCAGGATTTCATCCTATGGCCCCATCAGCAGGACATACACATCTTCCTGTTAGCCATGCAGGCTCTTTCTAACTGTGTTATCTTTTACTTCTTATTTACAATCCTACTCCTATCATTGATTCTAGTAATCTTTCCTGCACCATGAGCTGTTATTTTCTTGAGGGAGAACCTGGCTGGGTTTTGTTACTGGTTTTTTTTTTTAAACCTAGATAATTAATATTAAACCAAGTACTGACAACATAGGAGGTTGGGGCGGGGGTTCCATTTCTCGGTGTGTTTTTAACATTCAGACAGTAAAAGAGCCACAATGTTCCTCAGCCTAAAACCAAGACTGATACCTAAAATAGAACTAGATCATTTTTGTGACTTAATTAAACAATGGGGATTAGCTTTCTACACCCTAAAATATGACTTTCCAGGTTAGGATTGTGATTGCTTATTCCAGAACACAGCATTTGTGTGTTTTCTTACTTGTATGACTTCTTTTGTGTCTGAACAATGGACTACACTTGGCTACTGTTACTACACTTGGCTAATGAGAAATGAAGCATTTCCTCACCTCTTCCCCAATAATCACTTATTTAACCCCCCCAAATGAATGCATTAATCCTTTACCTCCATCTTTCTTAACTCTGTTTCACACTGTTTCGTGTAAGGCCAGGACTTGTTCGTCCTTCCTAATGTCAAAGTGATATTTTAGACTTGGAACTGTTGAAATAATTGGGAACGTTCATAGCTTATGTCACTATGACTTCATCGCTAACTCTGTGATGAAGGGCAAAAGAACTCGGTTGGGGGAAAGGGGATGCCCTGGCCTTGGGGCACTAACACAGGCTGGATCTGGGGCTGAGCCCCCTGCAGATCTGGCAGCTCTTCCCCCTCTTATGCACATACGGCTTTTTTGTGTCGGTGATTCACTCTGCCAGCATGTATGAATTAAATGCAAAGTTTTTCACCCTTACGATAATCTGTGAGATTTGGTAAATGGAGGTGCCAGGGAAGTTCTGGGTGAGCAGGAGTATGATTTAGCATCTGTCTTCCTTGCTAGAAAATGCCCCGTTATACTTGGGGTGCCAAGGAGGATTTTGGCAGGGGAAAAAGGTTTGACTTACCCAGGTGCCATCCCCGTCAGCACGAGGGATTTACAGACCTGGCATCATCTATTTCCATCTCCAGATCACAGCACGGAGTGAAATGCAGCGATGCGAAAGATTAGTCTTCATTCGGCGAAGGAATTGCCAAATTAAATGATGACAGATGGAAAAACTAAAGGCCACAGTGTCAGGGGTCCGTCCATAGCCCTGGGCTTTAGGAAGAGGTAAATACACAGAGCTCAGCTGGTGCTGCAGGAGGTACGTGTTCGGTGGAAAGCCAGAGCTCGGACAGTGTGTGAAATCGATACCTGCTATCGAAGGGAGCAGCGCACAGCGTTAGGGCTAACCCAGTGTTATTAGAAAATGATATATTGCACATTAGGATGGATAATTCATGTCGCCTTCATCGCCTCAGACCGTCGTGAAAATCCATAAATCATTTTCTCGTTCATGTATCGCCTAAGTGCGATTTGTCACTCGGCATTAGCGGGAGGACGGCCGCGGATCCCCGCCGCTTCCCAGGCACGGCTCGGAGACCCAAAATGGAGACCCGATTGCGCTTGGAATCGCGGGGGCAGATCGCATTCCCTGGCTGCGGGCCCCCGGGTCTGCCAGCGCCGCGGGGAGGGAAGGGAGGAGGGGTAGGGGGGGGAGGTGGCTCCCCCCGGGATTACAGACGTGTATCAGTATAAATCCGCGTGTCCACGCGTGGTTGTGCCCCCCCAGATCACGCCGGCGCTGCAGGAGCCGCGCGTGGGTGTCGCGCCTGGAGCGCGCGTGGGGAGGCTGGGGATGCGCTCCCCTTCCCTCCGGAGCTCCCTCCGGCCCCGCAGGCGCGCACGGACAGGGGAACGGGCACGGGCGGGCTCTGTCCCCCGGGTTTCGCCCGCGTTCCTCGAAGGCAGGCGAGGTGCCGCTCCCGGGGCTCCGGCGGCGGGGAGGGGAGGGAGGGCTGGAGCCGGGCTGCCCCGGGTGGCGGTCAGTGCCCGATGGATGCTCCCCGGGAAGCAGGGGCACGATCCCCGCTGTCTGTGCCCGGGGCTGGCGGCAGCGCTATCTGCACGGAGAGGGAGCGCACCGACACCCCCGTCCGCATCCAGCGGGCAGCGGGAGCGGCCGGGGGGTCCTGGCGAAATCCGTTTCTCCGGAAAACACCCACCGCAATCGCCCCGCCGGCTGTGCCCCGCGCTGCCACGGCGCCGAGGGGTGCGCAGGGGGCCGGGAAGCACAGGATATGATTTGGGGGCGACAAGGAGGGACGCATCTCCCTGCCCACCGCGCCGGTTGCCGGTTCCCCGCTCTTCCCCCCCCCGCCTCCCGCGGCGAGGCAGCACCGCCCGCCGCCACGCCGAGCCGCAGCGCCGCCGCAGCGCCGGTGCCGGGAGCGTTGCGGAGGGGCTTGGGCAGGCAGGGCAGGGGGCCGGGGGGTGGCAGCGGGGGGTCCCACGGCGGGCCCGGGCCCCGCTGTCCCCCGCGGGGCGGAGGCGGCGCCGCCCGGGCGCAGTGCGGCGCTGCGGCCGCTGGGGGGCGCCAACCGCCCGCGAGTGCGGCCGCGGCCCGGGGTGGGGGTGGGACCCCACGGAGGGATCCGGGATTGGGAATGATGGAATGCGTTGGGGTTGGGAGGGACCGTGAAGACCATCTGCTTCCCACCCCCCTGCCACGGGCAGGGACACCCCTTCCCCCACTGGAACAGGTTGCTCAGAGCCCCGTCCAGCGTGGCCTTGGACGTTTCGAGGGATGGGGCATCCACAGCTTTTCTGGGAAATCCGTGCCGGCCCCTCGCCGCCTTAGCGTGGATTCCCGCGTTTCTGCAGGAAAAGTGCGTCTGAGCGTGTAGTTCATTGAGATGTGTGGAGGGAGCCGCTGCTGACTGATGGGGTAAGAGCAGGAAGCTGCTCGTGCCTGCTTCGCGTTGCTCTTCAAAAACAGTAACGCTTTTTGGTGAAACAAATACCCTCACAAGAATTACAACACAATTATTTTCACTCTTACTTTATTCATTCCGTAGCCTGACGGACGTGGATCCCTCAGCCAGCACCGACAGCCCGTACTGGAACGTCTCCCTTGGATTCCTCCGGTCCTCCCTGCCAGTCCCCCACCCCAGGGATGCCCCCTCCGCGCGCCACCCGGAGTACCCAGGGACACACAGTATTCCCAGTTTCCCTCTTCCCCCGTACCCGACGGTCTCCTCTTACATGAGAGGAAATTCCAAAATGGAAATCGGAAAATACCGGCTCGGGCCCGTGATACTTTAAATTGGCCGGAGCTGGAAACACCGTGCGCACCGCCACGGAAAGTTGCGCTCTCTCCACTACCCAACACCCCAGTTAGCCGAAGGGAGGGGGAAGGAAAAAACCAATAATCCCAAGTTCCTCCCCCCTCCCCCCCTCCCGCCCTGTTTATGCCTTTTCTAAAAACGCTACTGGAAAGGAAAGTTGGGAGGCGGCGGGTGGAAACTCCCTCTCCGAGGAGCAGGGTTGTTTACGTTTACCCGTGTGCGTGCGTGTGTGTGTGTGTGTGTGTGTGTGTGTGCGCGCCGGTGGCGAGCGGCGATCTCCCGGTCCAGCGGCTGCGGCGGGGCGGCGGGCAGGGGAGGGGAAAGGTGGGAAACAGCCAGCCACCGTCGGAGGGCAGCGGGCAGGGAGCGAGGGAGAGAAGGATTTGGAGAGGGGGTGGGAGCGAGGGATGAGGGAGCGCGGCATCCCCGGGACGCGCCGCCCGAGCCGTGCCCGCGCGCCCGCCCGGCCGTGACGCAGCCCTGCCTGACGCGCGCCGCAGCCAATGGGACGCCGCCCCCGGGGGCGGTGCTGGCAGCCGATTGGCTGGCGGGGGGGCTGGCGCTGCGCAAAAGCAGCGGGGCCGAGCGGTGCCCGCTCAGAAAGCGCCGGCACAGATCAGAGGAGCCGGGAGCGGGAGCAGCGCCGGAGCCGGGACGCGAAGGCGAGCGGCGGCAGCAGCAGCAAGAGACAGACAAGAGACACAAGGCAGTAAGACGCGAAAGCAGCAAGACACGGAGAGGAAAAAAAAAAAAACAACAAAAAAAACACCCAACCGACAAAACGCCCTGATCGACACATCCGTAAAAGCAGAATGATGATGATGATGCTAATAGCAATAAAAGAAGAAAATGAAAGACATTTAATAGAAGAGAGAAACATCTGAAGTCGTCATATATTAAAAAAAAAAAAAAAAGGAAAAAAAAAAAAGAGGAAATCCCAGAGACATCAGGGAATGAAAGTTTTGGGTAGCAAAGCTGTTCTCTGCCTTTTTTTTTTTTTTTTTTTATTGAAATCTTTTTGCGGTTAATTTTTTTCTTTTTCAATTTCGCGGTTTTCTACCTTTTTCTTCCATCTAAAGAGGGTATGTCCACCGGCTGTTCCAGCAGCATCTACCCCTCCAGTTCCCACCAGGAAGACAAACCGAGGACAATCTTGAAATATAAAAATTTCCTCCTTGGGATTTGCTGCTGCTGCTGCCCTCCGCCGCCACTGCTGCTGCCGCGGTGCAGTGCCAAGACTCTCGGAATAAATAAAAGCGGGCTACTGTGTATCTCTAGCTACAGCAGGCTAATAGCTATTATTAGTTGGTCATTTATTTCGAAGATCACAGATGAAGTGGGGACGCCTGTCTTCTTCATTTGGTCAGCGTGTGAAATAATAATACCCGTAACAAAAAGGAGGGAGATGGGGGAGAGAAAAATCCTAACATGAATCAGAAGAAATAGTATCTAGCACACCCCCTCCCCCCACAGATCAACCTCCCCCCCCCTTCTCCCATTTTCTTTCCCCCTCCCCCGATCCCGCTCTCTCCACACACACTTGCAGGCGCGGACACGCACACACACAGACGCACACACAGACGCGCATACACACACACTGTAGTGTGTATTTTCGGAGGAGGAGGAGGTGGTGGTGGTGGCTTTTGGAAGAGGAGGAAGAGGTGGTGTCGGGGAGGGGGGGATCTCTTTCCCCGTTTGGAGATGATTGTGCTATTCCTCTTTGCCTTGCTCTGGATGGTGGAGGGGGCTCTTTGCCAACTCCATTACACGGTGCAGGAAGAGCAGGAGCATGGCACGTTCGTGGGGAATATCGCCGAGGACCTGGGCTTGGACATTACAAAACTTTCGGCTCGGCGCTTCCAGACGGCGCCCAACTCCCGCAGCCCTTACCTGGAGCTCAACCTGGAAACCGGGGTGCTCTACGTGAACGAGAAGATCGACCGGGAGCAGATCTGTAAGCAGAGCCCCTCCTGCCTGCTGCACCTGGAGGTCTTCCTGGAGAACCCCCTCGAGCTGTTCCGGGTGGAGATCGAGGTGCTGGACATCAACGACAACCCGCCCTCCTTCCCGGAGCCTGACCTCACCGTGGAGATCTCGGAGAGCGCCACACCGGGCACCCGCTTCCCGCTGGAGAGCGCCTTCGACCCCGACGTGGGCACCAACTCCCTGCGCACCTACGAGATCACCCCCAACAGCTACTTCTCCCTCGACGTGCAGACGCAGGGGGACGGCAACCGCTTCGCCGAGCTGGTGCTGGACCAGCCGCTGGACCGGGAGCAGCAGGCGGTGCACCGCTACGTGCTGACGGCGGTGGACGGCGGGCAGCCCCAGCAGCGCACCGGCACCGCCCTGCTCACCGTCAGGGTGCTGGACTCCAACGACAACGTCCCCGCCTTCGAGCAGCCCGTCTACACCGTGTCGCTGCCGGAGAACTCCCCGCCGGGCACCCTGGTGCTGCAGCTCAACGCCACGGACCCCGACGAGGGCCAGAACGGCGAGGTCATCTACTCCTTCAGCAGCCACATCTCGGCCCGCGCCCGGGAGCTCTTCGGCATCGCGCCGCGCACCGGGCGGCTGGAGGTGAGCGGTGAGCTGGACTACGAGGAGAGCAACGTGTACCAGGTGTACGTGCAAGCCAAGGACCTGGGGCCCAACGCCGTGCCGGCCCACTGCAAGGTGCTGGTGCGGGTGCTGGACGCCAACGATAACGCGCCCGAGATCAGCTTCTCCACCGTCAAGGAGGCGGTGAGCGAGGCGGCGGCGCCGGGCACCGTGGTGGCCCTCTTCAGCGTCTCGGACCGCGACTCGGAGGAGAACGGGCAGGTACAGTGCGAGCTGCTGCAGGGCGACGCGCCCTTCCGCCTCAAGAGCTCCTTCAAGAACTACTACACCATCGTCACCGAGGGGCCGCTGGACCGCGAGCAGCCGGGCGGCGACGCCTACACTCTCACGGTGGTGGCCCGGGACCGCGGCGAGCCGCCGCTCAGCACCAGCAAGTCCATCCAGGTGCGGGTGAGCGACGTGAACGACAACGCGCCGCGCTTCAGCCAGCCCGTGTACCAGGTGTACGTGAGCGAGAACAACGTGCCCGGCGCCTACATCTACGCCGTCAGCGCCACCGACCGCGACCAGGGCGCCAACGCCAGGCTCGCCTATTCCATCCTGGAGAGCCAGATCCAGGGCATGTCCGTCTTCACCTACGTCTCCATCAACTCCGAGAACGGCTTCCTCTACGCGCTCCGCTCCTTCGACTACGAGCAGCTCAAGGAGTTCAGCTTCCAGGTGGAGGCCCGCGACGCCGGCGAGGAGCCGCAGCCGCTGGCCGGCAACGCCACCGTCCACATCATCGTGGTGGACCAGAACGACAACGCCCCCGCCATCGTCAGCCCCCTGCCCGGCCGCAATGGCACCCCGGCGCGGGAGGCGCTGCCCCGCGGCGCCGAGCCGGGATACCTGGTGAGCCGGGTGGCGGCAGTGGACGCCGACGACGGGGAGAACGCCCGCCTCACCTACAGCATCGCGCGGGGCAACGAGGCCGGGCTGTTCCGCATGGACTGGCGCTCCGGGGAGCTGCGGACGGCCCGCAGGGTTCCGGCCAAGCGCGACCCGCAGCGCCCCTACGAGCTGGTCATCGAGGTGCGCGACCACGGGCAGCCGCCGCTCTCCTCCACCGCCGCCGTCCAGGTGGTGCTGGTGGACGGGGCGGGCGAGCGGCCCGGCGGCGGCGGCGGCCCGGGCGCGGGGACGGGCGCGGGGGGCGGCGGAGGCGGCTCTGGAGAGCATCGCCCCAGCCGCTCCGGGGGGGATACCTCGCTTGACCTCACCCTCATCCTCATCATCGCCCTGGGCTCCGTCTCCTTTATCTTCCTGCTGGCCATGATCGTCCTGGCCGTGCGCTGCCAGAAGGAGAAGAAGCTCAATATCTACACCTGCCTGGCCAGCGACTGCTGCCTGGGCTGCTGCTGCTGCTGCCCTTGCTGCAGCCGGCAGGCGCGGGCCCGCAAGAAGAAGCTCAGCAAGTCGGACATCATGCTGGTGCAGAGCTCCAACGTGCCCAGCAACCCGGCGCAGGTGCCGGTGGAAGAGTCGGGCAGCTTCGGTTCCCACCACCACAACCAGAACTACTGCTACCAGGTCTGCCTCACCCCCGAGTCCGCCAAGACCGACTTGATGTTCCTCAAGCCCTGCAGCCCCTCTCGCAGCACCGACGCCGAGCACAACCCCTGCGGGGCCATCGTCACAGGCTACGCCGACCAGCAGCCCGACATCATCTCCAACGGCAGCATCTTGTCTAGCGAGGTAAGGACGGCACCCCCCGCCACCCCACACCCCTCCCGCCAGGCTTCATTCCCTAGCCATCCCCAAGCATCCTTCCCCAAGCCCCGGGCCGCTTTCCTGAAGCTCCCGCTCCTCCTCCCCTGGCGGGAAAGACGTTTTGCATTCCCCATCCTCCTCCTTTCCCCTTTAATCCATCCGTCTGCCTTCTCTCCCCTCTTGGCCCTCTCCTATTCGGGAGGCTTTAGCCCTTCGGTCTCAGAGGGGAGGGGAGGGTAGAACCCCTCCCCGCCGACTCTCTCCCACCCGGGCTCAGCAGCTGCTGCAGCCAAGCGTGTCCCTCTGTTGTCCCCCCCGCCCCCTCCCGCCCCCATCCCGGTGCCTCTGAAGGAATCTGGCCCCGGCCGGGGCACGGAGATTCCCCTGAGCCAGCGTTAGCTGTGAGCAGATCGCCTGTGGGCTGAGGGGGGTGGGGATTACGGCTCTTCGCAGAGTCTCTGCAGCTGACAGGAGTGGAGTGAGGTGGGGTGTAATCACAGCATGTTCTGAAGCAACGATTAAACCCATGTCTTTTTTCCTTCCTGAAATCCTCGCATGTGCAAGTAAGGCTTTGGGGGAAACCCCCTCTGGGACTGTGACAATCTCTACAGTTAGCAGGAGCTTTAATTAATTTGTGAATTAGAGTTTATTAATTGACTTTTCTTTACTCTGTCTGCACAGCTCTTTGTAACACCAAAGCTGAACTTGTAAAGGAAAGCAGCAAGAGTTTCAGTAAAATTATATGCTGAGACCTAATGTCTCCTCCTGTTAAACATGTTTGCTTATGTTGTGATACCTGGTGTGTAGAGAATTTCTATCAAAGCATATATTCCTCCATATTGCTCTCCCATTAATCATTTTGTACTGGGTTAGCTTATACTTTCTCTCAATACCTCTCTGCTTATGCAGTAGTGAAAACATCACATTCTCTCTTAACTGAAACTTGAATGCTGTCCAGTCTGGAAAAGGTGGTTTGAATGGTATGTTCTAAACAGTTATGTTTTACAGTAAAATTTATAACACTGGATTGTAAGATTGACCTTGCCTAGAAATGTCTATAAAATTCTGTCTTCTGCTGCCTTTTTGATGACTTGAGGGTATCTCAATGTAGTTTTTTCCTTAGGGTACAATAACAGTACTGTCTCTCCCTATTTTTATACACTGAAATTAAAAACAGGCTGAGAACTAGATTACAATAAGTTTTTTTTCTTAGCCTAAGTAGTCCACTAGTCTAGAAATAGTTATGCTAATTTTTTGTGGGAGTCCTTGTGATGCTCAACAGTGTGCACTGTGAGAAAACGTCAGAATCTCATCCCAAAAAACCCCAGAAAAAACCACTCATGCCTTTCCATTTGTGTGACTAAGAGCTGGGATTTTTCCCCTTCTATCCTAGGAACAGATTGTGTAGGCCTACTTGCAGCTAAGCATTACCATTTATAGTGAATAAGCTCTCTTGGTTGGTTACAGAAATATCAAGAGTTAAAAATCTTTCCCAATATTTTCTTCTTTTCCTAGACGAAACATCAGCGTGCTGAGCTCAGTTATCTAGTTGACAGACCCCGACGAGTAAACAGGTAGGAGCTCCTTAGCCTTGGTTTCCTCACACATGCTTTAGCAAGTCTGAATGGGGTGCAGAAATGTGTTTACTGCAGATGTAACAGAGTAGTAAAGCAGTGGGAAGTCTGATGTCTCTAGACATATTAAATAAAACAGTCGGCTAAATGAGTTTGAATTACAGCTTTTCTGAACTGGATTCAAAACCGACTGAAAAGAGAACAAAATCTCGGTTTGTATTAGTCTAAAACATGCTTCAAATACTCATGAACATGCATCTGTAGGGTCTTCCAGAAGATACTGTCTCTCTGAGTTAAAATTCAGCTGTCCAGCTTAAGTAAATGCTGCCAAATCAGTTACACCGACTGCATGAAACCCAGGCAGAGCAATAGGCCTTGCTGTTCCTTCCAGCCAGACTCCCAAGGTCTGAAAATTCCTGGTTTAGTTTATGGTGGGCAGAGCACCTCCGCAGAAGCCGTGCAGCAGGCAGGAGTGGGGGGATGCAGCACCGGGTTTGGCCATGTGATGGCGGAAGAATGTTTTATGAGTTCCTCTTTCATGTTTATTCTAATGTAAAGATGTTTCTGTGTCTAGTTCTGCATTCCAGGAAGCAGACATAGTAAGCTCTAAGGACAGTGGTCATGGAGACAGTGAGCAAGGAGACAGTGATCATGATGCCACTAATCGAGGTCAATCCTCTGGTAAGTCTGATAAGAGAATGGAAATAGTAGATCTTTAAGTAGAGAGACTAGAAGGAACAGTTACTTGTAGGAATATAATACTAGAGAGGCATAAATAAGGTGATCGTATTGTGTGGGAGGCTGGGTCTAAGTCAGCTTGTTGCTGCAGTTACCTGGGCAAGGAGGCAATTTTGAACCTCTTTTGTTCACGGAACAGAGTTTGTTCTATTCATTTGATTCTGGGTGGGGGTTGGTATGTTATACTGCATCTTTCGCTGTAGCAAAACTTCCTGCACATTAAAACACAGTTGTTGGTACGTTTCATAGTACATTTTTTTCTATGGCAGATTTGCAGAATTTCAGAGCATTAAGCAATTTTGTTTAGTAGGCACTTCAGCTGGCATGGCAGTGGGAAGTGAAGGGGGAGTTCCCAAGGGAAAGAAAGAACCCAGTGATTGAATGACAGCCAGACAGTGAGGGTTTTTTTGCTGGGGATCAGTGGAGACACATTGGGTGCTCTGAATATGTAATACCTTAGCATTTTTGGAGGATTGTTTTTTAATTCAAATAGAGGCACCATATAGTGCAAGTGATCTCCATGTTAATAAGGCTAAGGTATTACTAAATACATTTCTTCCATCCTGACAGGAAAGAAAGGCTTTAAAAGACTATGATGTGAATCATCTAGAAAATATGTATGTTGCAGTGTTATTCCCATGTGCAGGGCTTGCTGTCTTTGCTCTCATACTGTCAGCTTGCTTCTGAAAGGGACATTTGTTCAGAGCCTGTGCATTAGAATTCACGCTCACCCTCACACTGCATTTTAGCCATAAATGCTGTGCTTTCTTCCCTACCACAGCCTCCACAGGTCTGGTACATCTCGGTTCAATACTGTGATTTCTTTCCCATTGTTTCCTCTGTGCTCTGTCACGTATAAGGATTTGCTACCAGTGTGTCATACAAAATACGGCCAGTTGTCCTTTTTTTTGTTTTTCCTGACCCCCATCTTATAAGATACCAGGGCAGGGGACCCAGTACCATCACAGCAGCGCTGCCTCACCCGCCTGCTCTGTTAACATCCCCCGTTTCCTTGCTGCTGTAGTCACTGTGCCCCTAACGATGGGAAACCCAGGCACCAGGGGAAGAGGAGGCTGCCACAGGGCCCCTTTCTATTGCTGCAAGTCATTAATATGCAGACCTAATGAGACTTGAGAAGAGCCAAGAGTCTCCGGAGCTCCCTGCTTCTTGCAGGGCTTCATGCTAAGTGAACAGAGTGTCTATTTTGTGTCTGGGAACCTGACAACAAACCAGGTCTTGCCAGAAGTTTACATCTGAACACAGAGCCTCTTTCATTTTTGGCCTATATATGGCGTATGATTTATTGTTGTTTGAAAAAGCCATGTATTTAGCGTCCCCCCCACTCTTTCTTTTGCACTGTTTCTGATGCAGCAATCACTGCTATCAAGTTATAAAAAGCTCCCTCTCCTCCTGCCCTCCCTGCATTCCGGGGTTTTTTTCTCTTTTACGCATTTTACTGCAGCAGTCATCTCCATGAACATTTCAATCAGCTTAGTCCCTCAACATAATGAACCGTAATAACCAAACAGGAGAGAAAAGAATAAACATCTGCAGAAGGGGATGGGTTTGACTGATGGTGGGAATATAATCACAGAGTTGCACATCAACTGAAAGCTATTTTCTTTTAGATGCATTCAGTGCTGTTGTTGTTGTGTTTCTCTGCTTCATTCTTTCTCTCCATTTTAGAAGTAGTCTATCTCAGAGATGAACACTTTTCAAACTTGGCATTGGTCCTTAGCGGGGTAAATTCTTCTTCATTTCTATTTTATCAAATAGGGGGAAAATGTATTCTATAGTAAGTAATTTAAGAATCTGATGTGATTTATGAACTACTGTGTCTCCAATAGTGATGACATAGGAAATAATGAAAGCTGCAAATGAGGCTTGGTCTACTCACAATCAGCAGTTTGAACTGAAACCTCAGAATACACAGAACTTCCAATTTCCTATGTTGGTGCTGTGATTTGAGAATAATTTGCATGCACCATTTTTTTAATGCTAGTTCCAAATATTTAAATACAAATCTCTTTAGAAACTATTTAATAGTAGACTTTAATTGTCTACATACATGTTTTTTACTTTTCCTGTAAGTTTTGGGCTGAATTGTCCTATCTTCATGCAAAGAATAACCCCTTGACTCAGAGATGGCAAGATGTTTTGATATAAAAAGCTCACTCTTCCTATTAGCTTTTGGTGATGGAATTTTGTGGGGAAAAAAGGAGCATAAATCTTGTTTGATCTTAAATGGCTAGAGGAAATGCCAGAGGAAATGCCTTCTCAGTTTTTTGGTCATTCTGATGCTCTGTAATAAATTCTTTCTAAATTAGTGAAGGAAAATACACTGATTGATAACATGGCAGGAGTTTGGGCTGGTTTTTTCAAGATGTTACCTGATATTGTACAGCATTATATTTGTTTTCCAAAGCATCTAAAAACATTTAGTAGGCAATTCACATTGAGAAACAAAACTCATATCGTACAAGTCTCAGTCAGCAGCATATGCTGCTGGCAAAACATCTTTTTACAGTTCTGTACATGACTTCTGTCAGCAGCAAACAGTCCTGTGGCACACAAGTAGCTATTCTGTAGTAGTCCATTGCTCTCCAAGCTGGCTGTCAAAAGTTGTGGTCAGTTACTAATTGGAAATCGTGCAGAATGAAAATCTTATCACCCTGTCATAGCTTTATCTTGCACAATTATGGTGAAAATTCAGAACTATGCTGTTCTGCATATCATGAAATACTTTGTTGTATTTTGAAATAAGATTCTAGTTCACTTTTTCACAAAATATGTTTTCTTAATACTGATTTAATCATGTCTTTAGGCGTGCTGGAAAGTATGTAAGGGATTCATATTGTTCTCATTAAAGTACCACATGAATGCCTCATAATTATCCACGTTCTTACCTACCTAACGTTGTCAAAGTACTAAAGTACTGCCATCTGCTTTTGGCAGGGAATGGCAAGTAGTGGGAGGCTCAAGAGCCTAATATTTGTGGATTGAGTAGTTACTTCAAAGACTGGGATAGGAATCTGAGCTGTTTGGGAAGTGACTTTCCAAAGGTGAAGAAGTGCAGGAAGTTTGTGGCAAATGGAGGGGGAGGGGTCTCAAACTCCAGGTGCATGTTCTAATGATTTGTACTCTTCTTTGAAGACTGCTGAGACAAAACCTGCTACTTGTTATAGAACAAACACAACTAACACAACACTACTATCTATTATTAACACACTGTATTTCAGTCGTGTTCTGTAGGAGTAATTTCTAAGCATGAGGTTAGTTTATTTCCCATGGTTGATTGAATTCTTGGCCTCCCTCGTGAAATTGCCGGCTTGGGTGCCAATTAATACTCTGCATGTGTGTACGTTTAAATTGTATGATTAGACACCTGTCCTGCAAGACTTGGACTCATGCCATCAACTTATTTCATATGGTTGCTCACTCACTACTCAGCTTTCTCAAGCAGGGCTCTTCAGAGTATTATCTTTTTTTTTCACTGAATTGGCATGATGTCTCAGATGCACTTCAGGAAGGAGTGTCCAAGATGTGAAGCCAAGTAGATGTACTGGCGTGCATGTACTATAAAATACATCCGATTTTTTTGTTCATCTCCTGTGTGCAGTGCTGGACAGTTTGCATTGCTGACAAGCTAAGACCTAAAATCAAGGGAATTGATTCAAAGGCACAGGGTGAAACATTGCCTCACACCTTTTCAGTACAGATTAGGTAAATGCCAAGAGGGTTTGTATGCATTATTGCCAAAGAGCTATGATATTTCAGTGTCCGTAAGGAGAAGAATCTGAGAAGTCAGAGGAAGAATTTTAGTGATAAAGGCAAAGAGAAAACCCGTATTCCTTCTGAGTCTATGCAGAGTGACTGCTAAATCCTGTTTTGAAGATCACTTGGGCAAAGAGTCTATCTCAGATAAAGTGAGAGTGAACATGAAAATGGCTTAGAAAAGTGCCTTGACTCAAGCTCAGGGCTGTTTCTATTTCATTTTTTTTCTCTTCTTCCTTGGTCTGCATGCTTAATACTGTTCACATCTCAGTGGTCCAGATAGGGCTTTGAAGCTGAGATTTGGAAGAGCTGAATATTGAAGATATTTGAGTCTTTATTCATGTTCTCTTGCAGATTAAGTCAGTTTTATCCAAGGCAGTGCACCAATTATTTAGCAAGAATGATAATAACTGTTTCATAAAGTCCAGTTCGTCAGTAGATACAGTCTTCCTCAAAGGAGGTTGACATCATTATCCGTATTTACCGACACAAAACATGAATCCTAGGGAAATGAGTCACTTTCTCAATGATAATCTACCCAAAGGGATAGTTGTCCTGGTAATGGAGCTCTGAAAGGGAGACCTGGTTCCCTGCATCACACCTATCTCGCATATAACTAGCACAGAAGAAATGGGAAATGCCATTTAATTCCAAGTAAAAGGCAAAGTTCTGAAAAAATTACACACGTTGGGGAAAAAAATCCCTTTTGGTAATGGTATTGCAAAAATACTTTGTCAACATTCAATTTGAAGTTTTCATTTTTATTACATCATTTGCTCAGTAATACATAAGGACATGTTCACTCGTTGCTCTAAAGGCTTGGTGTATGGTTCTTCTCCTTAAATTAAATTAAGAAAGGAGACATTATTTGAAATTGTGTTTAGGTCTACCTTTTGCTTTGACCAAAACTGTCTTTCAAACCAATTAAAACTCATGCACATAGAAATTTTGACTTCTTCCTTTTGAAATATGAAAAGGAAGCAGATTGGGAATTTACTTCTGAAATGCAGTGCTACCACGAATGTGATTCAAAGCACCTGGGTTCAGGTAATTCAGATGCAGGCATCAAACAATAAATAACTCCTTTCCTAGTTTTTAGCAGCTTTTGAGTGAGGGCCAGGGGTTTGTTTTCCTTCAAAATCTGCAAAGTTAAGGTTGTGTGAAAGCTCATGTTGGCCATTGGCCCATCTGGTAATAAAAGTTGAACAAATAGGAATGAACTAGTGGCCTCTACCATCAGGTTTTATATGTATGCTGTATTTGGAATAGTGCAATGCTTATAATTTTCAGAACTTCAGTATACTATCTGTTTGTATCCACAAAGGGCATTTTAAATTCATATTTCAGGGTCACCTTTAAAATTTCAGTTTATCTGCAAGGTCCAACTTAGGATCACTAAGTGAAAAGTAGAAAGCATTGTTCTTTATGTGGATTTTCAATTATGATGGATAGTTTAGTTCAGAAGGATCACATACATATATATAACTAGCTTTATGAGGGACGTTGAGATGGAAGTGTTATACTGCTGAACATTTCTTTTTGTTATAAATCAAGAACATGATTCTTGGCCTATGAAGGAGTTCTCTTCTAAGTGTCTTACTTCATTTACCATGATATGTCCTTCCTTCTTGGAAAATTGCAAATTGCCTTTACCTGCCCCCGGGCTTATGTTAAATGTTTCTTCAATTAGAACCAGAGAATTCTATACTTTGACCCACATGAAAAAGGTGGAGGAGGAATAGCCAGCATTCATACCACAGGCAGTGTAAATAGACATGGGTGCTCAGGGATTTTGAAACTAGGCTTCTAATTTGAATTTCTTTTCTGTCAAAATACTAAACCCAAGGGCTTGGTTCTGTACCCATTCAGCTAAACTCTTAGGGAGTGTTGTGACTGATTCAAGCTGGAGCAATTCCTAACCTTTGCCTCTCTGAACATTTTGTTCCCATCCTAAACAAGCATTTACATTCTAGCTGTGTGTTCCAGCAGTGTATATTAAAATTTAGATGTATATAATCTTTTTGTCCTTTTACAAGTTCTCATCTTCAAGGGGGAAAAAGTTTGCTGTGCAGGCTTACATTTTGTGTCTCCTACATTCATTACTTTGTTTATTTAAAATCCTGATTTATAGTGGCTATAACATCTCTTTTATAATAAACTGTTATATAATACTGTTCAGTGCAGTGCAGTAGACAAGCAGTATTCAAAAGGGAACAAAAAAAAATAATATTTGGATAGAGACATTTTGCAGTATAGCAGTTGATGTGAGAAGAAAATAGTAAAATGGAGGGTAATTTTCCAGGGGAAATAAAGATGCATGAAGGGAAGAAAAGGGTCTATATTTGAATGTATATATTTAAAACAATATTAGTGTAATCTCTCCCTCCCCATTGACTAAAGAATATAATTTAATATTTATCCTTAAGGTTTCTTTCTCCTGCTGTCTTTCAGGAAAGGTTGAATGAATATGGTCACTGATACACTGTTAGCAAATGTAACTGTAATCATTTCCTATTAAATGTAGGGCTATCTATTGTTTACATGTAACTTTGCTAGGAAGTCTGTAAATTGAAATAACCATTTTGTGTTTATTTTCCCTTAAATCTTTGGAATGGCGAAAAGTTAGATCCATAAAATGTGTCTTTCCTTGCATAAGAAATATTTTTCTTCAGACATTTCAGTACATAAGATACACAGACGTGCTTTTATAGACACTGTTAGTTGCTAATTTCTTTCTGCATCTAAATATTTCTTTTTCAGTCTTTGATAGCTTCTACCACTACAGAATTTATATTTAGACTATTTTTCTCCTTGCCTGATGATCTTCATCTGATTCCTTAATCATATCTGCAGTTCACATTTGCATTCTTCAACAGTTCACTGATCAGTAATTTGTTTTCAGACTTCTGCATGCCAATTATCAATGCAGGGTTCCAATTGAAACTGGACCTGGCATTGTATATTGCTTAATTTTAAATTAAAAAGTCATTATAAAGTGAGATTAATCTGAGATAAAAAGCGCTTTTTTTCATTTTCTCATGTTTTATTTCTGTCTAAATTATTGCCTCTAGTGCTCAAGCACTTGTTGATTGCTCATAACAATGCTTCCTTGCTGAAGAGATTGTTTTTCGTAGTGTGAGGTACTATGTAAATATTACTAATATAAGTCAAATTACAGTTCAAAACAGTAGTAGAATTCTTAATACTAATCCTCACATTGGACATCGAGCTAATCCAGTTCTTCACAATGTAGGCTGGTGAATGAGATACATTACATGAATCTTATTACAACTGTTCAAAGTTTTCTCCTATTTCTGTTACAAGTAGTGTCATTTTTTGTAATTCTAATGCAATGCTTGTAAATGCAATGTTTATAACAGATTTAGTTCAGTTTTGACATGCACCTAAGACAGTTCTCCTTATAAATACAAGAAAAGGATGTTTCTTTACTGTTTTGCTTTCCTGTAAGATGTTGAACATTGTACTGGTTTAACTCAAACAGCAGCTAAGCACCTCAGAGCTACTTGCTCAGTCCCCTCACCTCTGTGGGGTTGGAAGGAGAATCAGAAAAAAAACAAAATTTGCAGGCTGAAACAAGAACAGTTCAATAGTTTAAATAAAGCAAATGTGATAACAATAATAACAAAAAAGAGAAAGAGAGAGGAATGAAACCGAAGACAGAGGAGTGATGCACACTGCAATCACTCGCCACCCGCTGACCGATGCTCACCCCCTAGCAGCGATCGGCCCCTCCCTGACAACTCCCCCAGTTTGTATGCTGGGCATGATGCTCTGTGATGTGGAACAGCCCTTTGGCCAGCTTGGGCCAGTTGTCCTGGCCATGCTCCCTCCCAGCTTCTTGTGCATTTCCTCCCTGGCAGAACATGGGAAATGTCCCTGACTTAGGGTAAGCAGTACTGAGCAACAACTGAAACATCAATGTGTCATAGGCATTATTCTCATATTAAATCCAAAACACAACACTGTAACAACTTTTAAGAAGAAAATAACTCTGTCCCAGCCGAAAGCAGGACAAACCAACTTGAGATTTATTTATTTTACTCTGTGCCTATGATTTCATACACCGTTCCTCTCAAAACAAGTATAATCCAACAGCTTAGTAACTGTTAGCCAGGGAATGTTCCTTTGGAAGGCCGCTCTGAAAGGAGTCAACAGCAGCATAGCTTGTCATTTGAAATCTTAGTAGCATTAAAGGATTTGTAAGCAAACAGTTCCTGTGTTGGCACAGACAAGTGTTTGTTTATAGAGGGGAAGTACTAACAATCTTTTCGATAGTATCCACAACCACCTCATATAGGACTGCGGGTACCTTTGTACTGCTAATTGCAGTATTTTATTATAGGATCCTCTCCCATTTCTTGGACTTGATGATAGTAAGGACTGCTGCAGTAGCAGTGAAAACTGTCTCTGAAAGAGTGATGTAACAATTGATTAAAGAAGCTATCCTGATCACTTGAAAGCTGGATTCTTGCTTTGTAACATCTGTTTTTAATAACAGTGGGCTCTATCTGTATGCCACCATTTCATAAATGAAATCTGAGATTCCTCAATCCGGACACTTAATTTCTTTGGTCAGAGATAGATTTGCAGAGATATTGTTGGAGAAACAATTCCTTATGTGTTCCTAAACAAGTATTTTCAACCGTTGAACTATAGACACCCACCTACAGGTGGAATTGAATCTTGTGTGAATGGGTTCTAAACAATGAGATCTGCAAGGGATTTTATGAGATAGAACCACCAATGCTCTTCTTGTGGTATTTTGGTGCTTGTGTGACATTCTGGCATTTAGTTACACTTGTTAAAGGATGCTTTGACTTCTGAAGACCAGACAATCAGATATTTTTTGTAGTTGTCGTTGAGGAGATGAAACCAGTGGAAGAAATTCTTACACCATTTCCCTTTTCCGATTCTCTGTCCTTGGCATAATCTTTCATATCTGTCAGCAGCTGTTCATGATGCTGAAGCTTATATCTGTAGTTTCTTTTTCTTTCATGCTTGCAGGCATGGATCTCTTCTCCAATTGCACGGAGGAATGTAAAGCACTGGGCCACTCAGATCGGTGCTGGATGCCTTCCTTTGTCCCATCCGACGGACGCCAAGCTGCAGATTACCGCAGCAATCTGCACGTACCTGGCATGGACTCTGTTCCAGACACTGAAGTGTTTGAAACACCAGAAGCCCAGCCGGGGGCAGAAAGGTCCTTCTCCACCTTCGGCAAAGAGAAGGCCCTTCACAACAGTCTGGAGAGGAAGGAGTTGGATGGACTGCTGTCTAATACACGAGCGCCTTACAAACCACCATATTTGAGTAAGTACCATTCAAAAAGCTGTATGAAAGTGTTCCCTTCGCGGGAATAAAGACTAGCTCTTTCTGCTATTCATGGTAGGAATAATACAGGCACAATTTCAGGAGCAGTGGGGAGAAATGGCTTCTCTTGGATTCAGGCACTGCTGAAGAAGGCATTGTTCAGTGCTTTTCAAAAAAAGATAAAACCTTGATTGTTTTTAGTATGACATGATTTTCAACAGCAAACGTATGAGCTGATATTAGTGAGGGAGTTGCTCAATTTTGTTTTCTAATGCTGGATTATTGTCAAAGTTTTCTTGGATAGATGGTGTAAACATTGGCATTGCCAGGCTTATGTTTTCTTAAGACTAGAATTAAATCGAGATAACTTTCCTGGGAGCTTCTTTTTATGATTGAGAAGTATCTTGTGAATAAACAGTATGTGTATTATTTTGAAGTAGCTATTGACATAGTTTAAGGGTTTAGAAGGAAGAAGATAAAAACTTTTGCCCTAAGTCTGATCATCTTTCTGTCTACATAGTGTTGACTCTTGTCAGTGCTCCTCCGTGCCTTCTGTCTCCTTCCAAAATTTTGCCTCTTTCTTTAGTCGCCTTTCAACTATGGTTAGGTGATATGAAAGAGTGTGATAGATCTCAAAAAGACCTTCATAATTCCTTTTGGAGTCTGAGCCAGCTGTAGAGCCCTTGAGTAACACTTTGATCTAATATGTCCTTTCATTCTATTTAGCTGCCTTCTCTATTTTATTAGAGACCGTAATCTCCTTGACTTCAAGAGTTTATGATGTTTATCTCATCCAAATAAGCCAAAGACATTAACATTGCATTACCAACCCTTTTTAAAGCAACAAAGGTCTTTCAGGGCAGCAGATTTGGAATAAAAGAAAAAGAATGTCTCTGAATGATAATAATTTATTTATTTTTCTAAAACATTCAGTTTTTCAGAGGGGTGCTACGCTGGCAGTCCTGATATTTGAAGATCTTTGCTACAGATCATTCTCAGCATAGACAGCTCAGTTCTCCCTTCTTAATTAGCTGTCCTGGTATTTCAGTCCTTCAGGAGAGGTCTTTCTACCTCTTCAGTCTTTAGATTTGCTTTACTGAAAACTTCAAAATTCAACTACCAGTTCTGATATGTGAAAGCCATTCCTGCAAAAGCCACCCTGAGACAATTAGCTTATTTTGTGTAGTTAGAACATCAGGTGTCAATCATCTGGTCATATCCTAAAGTCCAATGTGAGATTTCAGTATGATCTAACAGCTCATGAGTCTGTCTTTCCTAAACTGGTCTTTCATCATTTACTTCTACAAAACATTCTTTGGCACTAAGCCATAATTTAGCAGTAGTGATACTGTTACCTCAGTTAATAAGTTTAATTTTAGTTTAACAAGTTGGTACATCCTTAAATGGTCTAATAACAATCCAGTTCTGATGCAGTATGGACATTGACATGATTACTGTTTTCTGGTGGCATCACAATAGTAGTTCTGTTCTGGTTTGTTGTAGGCTTCGGAGTTTTATTTCAAATAACAGTGACATGTTTATTTAGTTGATAGTTTAGGGATTTTAAATTTTGTTATACTAACATAAGTAGTTTTGTTGAACAATGCCTTTACATATAGACATCAGTCTACATTTTACACTTTTCTGGTACATGGGCATAAAAAATGGAGGCAAAATGTCAGGAGTAACCATATATAACTGTTATTACATAATCCACACTTGAGAATCCAGATTTAGTTTTGCTTTTTTCCCCTGATCCTCAAAACTTTTACAAAAGAAGAGTAATGCTTTGGTTTGTTTTCCCTTATTTAATATTTTCTTTAATTTAGATTATATTTGTATAGCAAGGAACAGGAACAACAAAAAGTGAGTGCAGTAGTTGTAGCAATGAGTAAATAATTTATAATTAATAATTTATTCAAGGAATAAAGCAAGATAAATGCATAAGAGGAAGTTGATTCAGGAAGGAACTTTAGTTGAGCCACTGGGTAATTGCAATTAAAAATTGCAATTAAAAATAAAAATAATTTCAACTTCTTAACACAGAAGACTATCAAAGTCAGTTTGTCAGTAGAATGATTTTTTAGAAGTGATTAAAATATATGAAACAGAACCCTCATATTCAGCAAAAATACTATATAAAAAGTTATAACACGTATGAAAATGGCCACATGAAAAATGAGTAGCGAAGAAGAAAAGTATATTGCAGAATGCAAAAAAACTATTTGAACTAAGAAGGTCTCTTAAAAATAGAAAGATTCCAAAAGAAAATGATCAGAAAAGAGCATAAAATCTAGCAAGTAAATTTTAGGGTAGTAATTAGTGGACCTAAGAGGGACTTCTCAGAGGAAATAGCCAAAGGCATGTTAGACATATAGACAAGAAATACAGACAACTTTAAAGATGTCAGGTGTAGGAAGCAAGGAGAGAACTGGTGGGTCTCTTGAGCTGCAGTTAGTGAGGACAAGGATGTGTCAGAGATTCTAAACTGTTTCTTCTCATTTATATTTACTGAGGAGAACAGAGAAAGAGGTGTATTTAGGAAGGCACCCATCCCAGGTAACCATTTCAAATAAATGTGCTAGACTGAGTCATGGAAGAGGATGTTGTTAAAAAATTGGCTAAAACAAATAGGAAGAAGTCAGTGGATTATGTGTTTCTTTAACAAAAGCTAGTAACCAAAGAATGTCAGAAGTTTTGTTTATCATTAAAAAATGTACTAGGAAACCTTGTAAATTAGAGATCCATGAGAAGCCTCAGCATAGTACATAAATTTGTAACTTAGGGGTTTTAGGAACAAAGTAGCTGTCCAGGAAAGTCATACAAGAAAGATTGTCAATCTGTTAGAATTTTGATAAGAGTGAGAATTAATCAATAAAGTATACTTGAACTGTCAAAAAAGCCCTTGCACAGCTTCTGTGTAGTAGAAGAAGCTCCTAAAGTAATCATGTTGTCACAGGGCAAAGCATTACCAGACTCTCTCTGCCTGAGAGGAAAAAATCATAAGGATAAATGGAACATTTCAGCAGAAGCAGAGTTCCCCAAGTGTTTATGCAGAGATCCATGGAGTTTAAAAAATTAATTATCTAGAAACAGCAATGAGAAAAAGGGGGGTGGTGTTTGCAGATGACATGAAGTGGTTTAGGTCCATTGAGTCTCTAATAGACTATATATACCCATGTTGTGCAGTGAGGCGTGGTCCAGAAAACCTTGTCTGCTTCCGAGCTAGCTCACTCTGGAATGGGAAGCTGCAGAGCCGTATCAGCACAGTGGAATAGCTGAGCCAACTCACTCACTGGAGCTGTGCTGTTAGTGAACAGCTGCAAACATTAACTGGGTAGCTCTACGTGGACCTTTCATGGTGCCGTATCAGTGTGTCTGCTTGGTGATTCCTGCACTGTGTTCAAATGTTCAGTGCAGAAACTTAGATAAATAAACGTGATTTATATAATCATGAGAAAGTTGAACTCATCTTGAGGAAAAAGACCATGGAGTAATTCCCTTAGAAGTGTACCCCAAAGTACAAAGCCAGCAAGAAGGAAAAAAAAAAATGCCAGGCTGTAAAAAGGGGTTGAATTGAAAATACACTAAAAAAAGTATTCCAAAACCCTTACACAGAACATGTCACTCTGTTGCTCTAGACAGTCTGTTCATTCCACAGAAACACAGGGCATAACGACAACAATACTGAAAATATTTCTGTGCAAAGTCATACTAAAAGCTTAGTGCTAATTAATTTAGACAAGCTGTGATAGGGACATGAGGTAAAGGAGGCTGCATGAAAACAGAAGGTGAGCTGGGCGCTTTCTTTGCTGTTCTCAATAACGAGAGAGCAGCAAGGCAGCAAAACAGCTGAAGGACAACTAGGTCATGGTCTGATCAGATCATACACATTTGGTACAATGATACCCTTTTGACACAAATAATACAGCAACCTGTCAAACTTTGTGGCATGATTGAAACTAAAGGCTTAATGGTGAGCATTTGGGTATTCGGTTCTTTGTTGATGGAGGTTTAAGTTATTGCTTGGTTAAGTGAAAAAAGCAGCAGCTATATTACAAATTATAATGTAGAAAAATATATAAACCCTCATACCTGGAAGGGTTTCTTTGTGTTCCATTATCAGATTTTCACCATGCTGGTCTAATCCATTGGACTCACTCATATAAATATACAAATTCTATATATTATACTGAGCAGAGTACACTGAAAGTAGATCTCCTTGTACTCTAACATGAAGTATATATATTTTTATATATATTTCAAGTAATTACAATGATCACAGGTTATAAAATTGTGATGGGATCAGTAAACTGTAGGGTTTTTGAAACAGTTTTCTCATAGAGTGACTCCAGGATTCTTACTTGCATAGTCTTCTTACTGTGTAACTAACACTTACTGCTTCTTATTCATCCATGTGGTTTGAACACTGCCTTTCTACAGACAGTTAAGAAATTTTCATAATTTGTTGTTTGAATGTTCATAAAACATGAAAGAGATTCGGACTTTGATTGGAGAAATAAAATAAGTGAAATAACACTGGTGAGGAAAATAAAATGTAGCTTTTAAACAATTCCTGTATATTTAAAATAGATTCTAACAATTCCCATCTAAATTTTCATTCAGTGATGTTTATATTATCCATTATTTTTATAATTAATATTACTATAGTCATCAAAACCCCTAATCCAAGATTCAAACCCTGTTGTACCACATTCTGTAAGATATCTAGCAGAGACTGTCTTCACAATGAATACCTAATCAATCTGATTCTGCTCTATATCTAATACTTTAAACTATGTCCTGAGACGGTAACAGTGGAAACAGCAACATTACATCCACCTCAGGAGTATTTTGGTCTATAATTGCTAAGAAATAGCTTTTCTCTTTTTTTAATGTAATTGTGGTTTATTCTAGATGGACAGTTCTTTTATAAAACTTTACAGCTTTCCTGAAGTTACCTACTAACACTAGTGATTGAATAGTTTTTCTTCCTGTTA